TACTCTTACATTTTAATTGAAATACTTTGTAGTTTTCACATTATTCATAACCTACACACCACCGTTAATGAAGCTTACACCTGACCCTCAACTCATGTAGCTAATGAGAGCTAAAATAAAAGGGAAAAGATTGAAAACCACTTTTACAAAGTATTCCATTGAATCATAAAGCATTTTTAAGGTTTGCACACAAACTGTACACAAAAATTATTAGACATTACCCTTATATAAACACTTACACATGTAAATAAAAGACACACTACCTCGCGTTTGCTTTTCACAGCTAATGCTAATGTTCAGTTCAGTCAGTTTTTGCCTCAGACGGCGGTTCTCTTGTTTGGTCCTCTTTATCTCCTCCTGATATTCAGAAACAATGTCTTTAACTGCTAAAAATATCTCTCCCGCCACCGACATCAGTCTCTCCATGAAAAAAGAATTCAAGCTCTCCATTCTTGTCATTATGAAAGCTTACTATGTGTTTTGGTGTGTTTTCAGGGCAAGGGTTGCCATCAGGGTTGCCAGGTCTATTAAAAAGCATCAACGTCTGAAAAGTGACCTACCATGTACTGTAGGTTGCATTGTAGGTATACAGTCCTGGGCCGAGCCCCAAATGGCAAAAATATTAAGCTTTTAATGGTCTTAAGAACAAGAATGAAACAAATAGATAAAGGAGCTTAATATGGGATGGCTTTTCCCTTTGATTTCTTTAAGGGTGCGTTTCAATCAGCTCCCTAGTTCAGTAGTCAGCGCACTGATCAAGGAGTCAGTTATTTTTTAAAGGCCGTCTCAATCCAAAATCCTTCACTGGAACATTTTCTCCCTAAAAATACCACAATGCACCGCAAAATTGAGTCATCAGTGTCCCAATGTGTAGTGAGCCAAGGTCCTTACCAGTGCCCGAACTCATGTACACGATATACTGTTTCACAACCAAGGGCAAAAAAAAAAAAGGGGCCAAGGTCAAAATGGCAAAATATTAAGCTTTTAATGGTCTTAACAACAAATCATTGGTCAGGAAATTAGCAAGAATTAAACAATACATAAAGGAAGTTAGCATGGGATAACTTCCCTTTTGATTTCTTTAACTGTTTAAGCCTTGTGGCCCTTGATGAGCTGCATCAGGTGTGGCAGATACCCAAATAATGACTAATCTTTTAAGAAAAAAACATCCCAGAAGACATTTTTGGAAAATTTTACACACCCAGACATGTATTAGTTTGAATTTTGCATCAAACATTTTAATCATAATCATAATTTTACCTTTGCATACAAGAAGACTATATAAGTGAATTTCCCTGTTTCTGGCTTTTCCCCAAACAAACAGTTCACTGCAGCAAAAGTAAACCAGCAAATGGTGGCACAGGAGCTCTCAGGAGCGCACTTGTTTCATTCTTGCTAATTTTCTGACCAATGATTTGTTGTTTAGACCATAAAAAGCTTCATATTTGCCATTTTGTGCTTAGTCCATTTTTTTCCCCCCAGTGTACAGTTATTGAGTGTAAAAGCCATTGGTTACTTGTAGAGGACAATTAACACAAACTGTGCACAGAACAATATGTAAGAAATAAAACACGAAGAGGTGAGCTTATAGGAAAATAATCATCTATGGGGTGGTGTGATGAAGAATAAAGCGAAGCAGAGTTAATGTCACCACTGCAAAGATGTTTACCCCCCCCAAACACCAATAACAACATATCAGGACATGTTTTATTCTCCTTATAATCACAGCTTTTTGCAAAAAAATTACAATTTTCATTTTATTAATGAATGACATTGTGCTTTTTAATCGTTTATAGCTATACTTAATGTTGTGGAAACAAGTTATTTCCTATTACATTATAATAGCTACAAACAGCCTTTCCCTCTTTAGGCTCTCTTTTTTCTCTCCCTTTAAGTTAATAAGAATACAGCTTGTCATGTTATTGAGAACCCGGAAGAGTCCTCCATCCATCCTGAAGACGCTCACATGGTGAAAAAAATAACCCTTACAAAATGCTGGAACTGGAGACTCCTTCCATAAATGTTACATAAACATCTCATAATGACAGATTTGAATTACAGCAGGAACTACTGTTAGAACTGATATTATAGAAAGTCAATCAATACCTTCTGACTAAATAGACTGGAGAATTCAACAGTGCTGTGGTATAAGAGCTCGAATTTTACACCTACAAGGCATACCAACGTGCTATGAGGTTGTTTTTAACTGATGTGGAGTAGATGCTTATTTAGTGACTGACAAACACTTCATTTTATTTATTTTTTTCTTCATGTATTATTATTCGGGAACTGACATACTTCATGTTCTCTTCATTCACTAGGAAATCTTCCACAAATTCAAGAACACCCTGGCAGTTGTGGCAACATTGCATTTTATATTCTGCCTCTTATCACTAACAATTAGAATTACCCACAGATGAAAACTGTATACTAAATAGACATCTGGCATCATCTCAAATTAACAAAGATAAAACTTCAAAACAAATAAAAAGCCTTTAATTTACTTTTATATACAAAGAGCAAAGGCACAATGGACATGACAGAGGTAAACTTGTTCAAAGCAATTTTTTGACAGGCTATTGATGTAATAATAACAATGACAAATAATTTTAAATGTAAGTTTCCTTTTCATATAAACTGTTGTCTCTAATCTGAATTCTTTTTATTTCTTTGCATAAGAATACCAAATGATACCAAATGCAAGAAGGATGGGATATGTGGGAGATCATTTTAAGGCTAAGCAATTAAATAAAAAAATAAATAAATAATAAAAGATGTCACATAGAGATCTAACCACTTGATTTGCTATGCCACTATGTAGACCTGGTATACCTTCTGTGAAGCAAAGTCCTCAAAGGTTGTGAGAGGCCAAGACAACATCTGCAAGCTTGTATACTCTCTACGGCTTTGTTTTTTCTTTTGCATCGCATTTTCAATGCTCCAATCATAGGCCTTGTTGCTTAGCATGTTCGAGGCCTAACAATAAATATTTTTGCAGTTACCTTCATCTGCTACCTTATTGCTTTTATGACAGTTGCACTGTAGGATGATGGTAATTGACATGTTTTCTGACTTGGCTGGACTGAATGAATCGTTTTCCACAAATTGGACAGCCAAAAGGCTTTTCACCAGTGTGAATTCTTTCATGTTCCTTTAAGTGGCCTTTCTGATTAAAGCGCCTTCCGCAAAATTTACAGTGATACGGCCTTTCCCCTGTATGAGTCCTACGGTGGACCTCAAGCACTTGTGCATAGGAGTAGCACTTTCCACACAAGTCGCAGCGATACGGCCTTGGCCTGTCTTTCTGATGCACAACCATATGCCTTTTCAGCTGGCCACGGTTTCCGAAAGGCTTTCCACAATATTGGCAGTAAACAATTCTATCAGCTGTCTCACTTTGCAGTGCGTCATGTGAAGAGGGATCAGGACCTTGATCATCTCTTAAACCCACCAAATTATAGTCAATTATACTTTCACTTTGCATGGCAGGGTTTGAGTCATCAGATATGACGATCTGAGAATCCCTTGGCTCAGATTTTATTGTGACTTCTGAGTTATTATGGAGACAATCATTGTTTATTTCCTCATTTGTGGTCTTTCCTGAGAAATGGTGTGGTGTAGTCACTGTAGAAGGATCACTTATTGGTTCTGGTGGTACAATATCCTGCTTCATGGTGGACAGCTCCACCTTTACTTGTATTACTGAGGAATTTGAATCCAGGGGTCCATGGGAGATGTTTGGTAGCTCCTGAGGGACTGCTTGATTAGTTGAATCATCTGTTAAAAAAAATTAATAATAATAATAATAATAATAATAATAATAATTGGAATTTATGGACATGTGCAATTTTCAATAATAACTAGTTGAGACCTTGAATTGTCCCAGCTTTACTGCCACATCTGTTAACTCTTTCAAACATGAATCTGTTAAGGGGACACCAAAATCTAATTTGAGCATTAGAGTATGTAAGATGGAGTACAATTTTTTTCATTTTGTTAATTAAGCGAGGTTTCAGTAAAGAAACATAAAAGGTTATTTGTGTTCTATTAAACTGAAAAGTTGTGAAAAGTTGAAAAAGTTGGCATTTACTGTCCCTCACCTTACTGGACAAGACTGTGATAACCTAGGAGACCTTTGAGTTTTTGTTATTTTATTTATTTATTTTTTTTGGAATTACTGTTTCTCAGGACTTGGAGTGGGAAGCAAACTTGAAGGCCCAGCAGAGGATGTACATCCTGCTTATTTACCACAGGAGCTGTTGGCCCAGTTCCACACAGCCTGGTTTGGTTGCGCAACCAGTAATGAACTGAACAGACTACAACGTATTGTTTGTCAGGTCAGATGAAAAGCTCATAAGAAGAAACCTGGCCTCTCTGAAAGATCTGTTCTCCTCCAGAGCCAGGAAGTGAGTGGAAGATATCATCGCAGATCCCTTTCACCCAGGCCACCATATATTTGAACTCCTTTCCTATGGTAGGTGCTTCAGACTTATAAACACTGAACTGCCCCACAAACATGACTATATCAATGACAGCATTGTGGAGTTTTTTTTTAGGCTATGTTTTTGTTTGTTATCTTTTGTGAAGTCTGATGTCTAGAAGCACCACTAGAGCATCAACCAACACCCTGCTGAAAAAAAGCAATAGAAACTCTCCTAGGATCTGTAATGGTTTTAATGGTTATAATGGGAATTGTATTGGTTTCAATGGTAAGTAAATTGGTTTTAATGGAATGTATTGGTTTTACTGTAATGGTCCCTGTGGGTCTCTAGTGGTAATTTGTTGCCTTCTATTGGTGGCATGATATGTCTAGTGCATACCATTATTGTTGTTGTTGTTCTTTCGGCTGCTCCCATTAGGGGTCACCACAGCGGATCATCTTTCCGCATATTTGATTTGGCACAGTTTTTATGCCTGACGCAGCCTTCACCAATTTTATCCAGGTTTGGGACTGGCACTGGGAGTGCACTGTCATGTGCAACCCCACTGGCTGGGGTTGGTTTCCTGGCTGGGAATCAAACCCGGGCTGTGGCAGTAAGAGTGCCGTGGTCTACCCACTAGTCCTCCTGGGACTGCGTTGTTGTTGTTCCTCTTCTTTCAGTTGCTCCTGTTAGGGGCCACCACAGCGGACCACTGGTCTGCATATTTGATTTGGCAAGTTTTTACGCCGGATGCCCTTCCTGACACAACCCTACATAATTTTATCCGGGCTTGGGACCGGCACTGGGAATACACTGTCGTGTGCAACCCAACACGACAATCGAACCAAGCCAAATCGAACAAGGGCCATGGCGGCGAGAGCACCGAGGCCTAACCACTGGTCCTCCAGGGACCCATGTATAGTGGACACCATTAAGGACCAATAATGGTAATAGTTTTAATGATTAGCTGATGGTTTGTAATGGTATTTGTAGTGGAAACCATTAGAATTTCTGTCATGGTTTCTAGTGTTTTGTTTCTTTCAGTTAATACAAATTTATTCCTTGTGCCAATAAAATTCCTTCTGAATCAGTACTCTTTTAGTGGACGGTGTAGAAAGAAACTAACATGAGAATTCACACAAACTGAATCTTAAATCTGTCTAGAGCACTACATAGGATGCACTATATGTGCTGCATTGAGACATAGCTCATATCTTGACGTCTCACCTCGTCCGTTAGCCAAGGGTTCAGCCGTTAGCATTTTCTTCAGGTACGTGTTTTCCTGTTTGGCCCGGTCTATTTCCTCCTGGTACTCGCTAATAATGTCTGTAACTACTTGAAATAATTCTCCCGCAACAGCTAACAGACGTTCGGTAAAAAACGTATTTAAATACTCAAACTTTGCCATTTTTTTGTGGCAAAATCCACAGCTCTCAAATGAACAGTGTCTTCTTCGCTTAACGCTTGTGAAGAACAACAACAACACTGTAGTAGCTGACACATTACTGCCACCCGGTGATCCGGAAACACAAGTACAGAAACACAAAAACATCAACACTCACGGACAAGACAGTGACAGCCATCCCTATAAGACACTTGGTGTCAATTCAAAACACTGACCCTTTTACAAAAACTGTGTTAATGCTGGAAAAGCTTCAACAGCCAACACAATTCACCATTCAGACATGACTGTGGCTGCAGAGTCAATCAGCTTAGTTTCAGGGTATCAGTGCTCCAGTCAGGGTCTCGCTCCTCTAAGAGCTGGACGGCTCTGTCCTTTCCTTTCACAGTCAGACACATCTCAAATTAGTCAGTGGTTCAAGAGACAAGCAAGTACGGAAGCACACTTCTTTCACACAAGGTAAAAAAAAACCACTGGCTCTCCTTATTACGAGAACACATCTCGTTATTATGAGATAACATCTCGTTGTTGTTGTTATTCCTCTTTTGGCTGCTCCCATTTGGGGTCGCACAGAGGATCACTGGTCCGAGTATTTGATTTGGCATGTTTTTTGCGGCAGATTTTTTTTTGCTTCTCATGGAGTTGAGCTGAGACACAAGAGTCACCTTTGGGGCAAGCTGTACATGCATCTCAAATTTTATGATACATTAAAACTACACTATATGGCCAAAGGTTTGTGGACATCTGACCATGACACCCTTAAGTACTGTAGGCCTTCTCCAAACTGTAGCCACAAAGTTGGAAGCACTCAATTGTATAAGACATCTTTGTATGCTTTAGAATTACATTTTTACTTCACTAAAACTAAGAGGCCCAAGCATGACAATTCCCCTGTGCACAAAGCGAGGCCCGTGAAGGCATGGCTTGGCAAACGTGGAGTAAAACTTGAGTGTCCTGCACAGAGCCCTGACCTCAACCCCACTGAACACCTTTGGGATGAACTGAAACTCTGATTGCACCCTGACTTTCTCACCCAACATCAGTGCCTGATCTCACTAAGGTGCTTGTGGCTGAATCAGAACAAATCCCCACAGTCATGCTCCAAAATCTAGTGGAAAGCCTTCCCAAAAGAGCGGAGGTTATTATAACAGCAAAGGGGGACTAAATCTGGAATGGAATGCTCAAACAGCACATATGGATGTGATGGTCAGGTGTCCACATACTTTTGGACCTATAGCATATATGGTATCTGCATTAATGGTGCCATCTATCATGGCCTTTCACCAATGATCACTTGGATACTCGCTAACATCAATCCAAAGATAATTAATTAATTAAGTTAATATAAACATATAAACACCAGGATTTGAGAATTCTTTGTAATATATATATATATATATACACACACATACACACACTATGCTAATACTTGCTACGCTGCTCACTGACATTAAAATCTCATTGTCATTTAAGCCAGGCATGAAGTAAAATTTCACAAATTCTGTCAACTGTGCCATTTATCAGAACCTTGTAGGCTGTACCGGAAAAACAAGATCAATTATGTTGTTTTTATACCATTTATCTCATAATAACAGGATGCCTTTTTGCGTTATAACGAGATGCTTCTTGTATTGAGATGCTTTTCTTGCAATAACGATGCTGAGGAGAAATTTTCTTGCTCTTCTGTAGACATGAAAGAGTGAACGTTTTACTTTAACTTACATGTTAATTTTTTTAAAACATTTATTTTAGCAGCATTTTCTCCCCAGTATCTTATGATTCCTTGTGCTTTGTCATATTTTTTCACTTTTTCATACTTTGTCACAAAGGCATTGATTACGTACCTTTATTAGAAAAAGAAATAAAATAATGTTCATAGGCTGTTAATAGTATGTCAGTTCATTTTGACATCCATGGCACTGCCCTGTTTAACATGGCCTTTTGTCTGTCCTCCACGATGGGTTTCAGCCAACTATCCCTTTATCTGATGAAGCCATCAACACAGTTTCACAATTCAGCAAAGCTTCTGGACGTACAGAAACGGTTCAAAGTGCCACTGCTGTCACTGTAGAAGTGAAGACATGCTCAAGTGATCTTAAGACCTATCTTAAGAGAGCAGCAGACCCATTCATATACTGGAGGAAAGTGTTTTCACACTTGCTGATTCTGGCATGATGATACACTTCCTGTCTGATAACAAAACACTTGTTATTCCCACAAATATTAAAATATGATCCATCAGTATTTAATATCAGACTTAACAATGCAAGCAAAAAAAAAAAAGGCAAATAGCCAATATACTAATAAGGAAAATAAACTTTATTATAATTTTCTTCTTAATGAATAAAAGATTATGCATTTTTAAGTCATATTTTGGCATTATATTCATTTAATATTATATTCTGATAAAGGTGTTCATATGATCATAAGTTTAGTGTTGTTGATTAACACTCAGTTAAGACAATGACAGCAATCGCTATACGAACTTGAACTGGACTCTTGGTGTCAATTCTAAACACTGACCCTTTTACGAAAACAGCTGGTCCAACTGTGTTAATGCTTTTAAAAAAAAAAAAAAAAAAAAAAAAAGAACTTCATAACAGCCGACGCAGGTTATCAGTGCTCCAGTCAGGTTCTCTCTCCTCTGTAAAGAGCTGCACAGCTCTGTCCTTTCACAGTCAGACAGCACATCCATCACCCCGGCTTTCTCCCTCAAAAATACATTAAGCTGAATATTTTCAACAAGTAGGAGATAAGTAAGTAACAGTGGTGCTTTGCATCCGTGACACTGTGCATGCTTCTCCTTTCTTTAAATATGCTTCCCGGCTTAACTGCCTCATGTGAAGACAGGAAACAAAGACGGGAGGAATCACTGGCAAAAATGCGCTAAATGAGACGCATCGATTTCTCACTCATCAATGACTTCCGCACGTGTATCAACTGACACAGAGCATAACGCATACATAAGAGTCTTATTACATGTACGTCACATGCATAAAGAGTGACTTAGTTTTAGGGAGTACTAGATTCTACTTATCACCTGACTTTTTTGTACTTACTGTTTCTTATTCAATTATTATTGTTAATATTGGTCATTATCATCACATCACTGGTAGAACTTTATTCTCTGGAGGAAGTGGAAAAGTTACACATTAGGTTTACATGATGGTCTAATAAATAAATTTAAAAAGATTTTTTTTAAATTCTCATTCGAAACACCTATTTATTCTGACCCAGAAAGCCCCATCTCTCTTCACTTCTCGATTCTTCTGAATGCTTTTAATAAAGTGATGCAACCTTAAAGATGGTGGATGTTATTTGATTTCCAGGTCACAGGCTGAAGAAAGTAGCATTGACAAGTCAATTATGCATCAAATGGAATATTTAGGAAGCATCCTGTGTCCTTGTTTCCAAAACAGCATAGCTGAATCTGATGCAACAATAATCCATAAAGTGTTAACACTTTACTCTTTCTGCTTTTTTTTTTTTTTTATATATAAAGTCTTATAACCTGGTGAGGGAACGGCTGTTTATAGCTGCTATAATGTAAGTCATGATGACAGGAATTATTTTGTCTTGTAGATGTTACACAATACTAAATGTAACTATAAACAAGCAAAAAGAATGACATGATAACTAATAAATTAGAAAATATATATTTTTTTTTTTTTTTTTTTTTTTTTTTTTTTTTAAATCGCTGTGGTATAAGAGGAATAAAACATTTCAGGATGAGTTGTTATGGGGAAAATAATCAGCTTCGGGATGGTAACCGGTGGTAAGCACCGCTCCGCTCCAGCACACCACCCTGCTATTGATTATTTTCCTATAACAGCATGCCCTGTTGTGTTTTAGTCCTTAGAGTTATAACAACTAAACCACTGGAAGCTGAGATACAGGAGCAGAGGTATTCTCTTCATTAAGATTTTAATTTCAACTACAGGACTTTTAATCAGTTTTCACACTCAAAATCTTTTCTGTTTCCATTCAAAACTAAGCAAAGTTAGAAAAATCCAAATGACGCATCAGCAACATGTAGCCTGTATTATTTTTTAAAAAAAAATAAAATCACTGATTGATTTTTCTTTGAACTTTAGCCAGCTGACCGGGATGGCTGCGAATGTGCTCTTTGGCTTGACTCAACCAAGTGAAACATTTCCCACATACTGAGCAGCTGTAAATTTTTTCTCCAGTGTGAATCCTTTCATGCCCCTTCAAGTGACCTATCTGACTGAACGTCTTTTCACAGAAC